GGCATATATAATTACACGCCCTTGTTTATTCTCCTTAATCCAATCTCGTGCCATCTCCATCGCCTTCTCGTCTTCCGCCTCTTGTTGTGCGTTGTATTTATCGCTGGCATTCTTCTCGCCCTCCACAAACACTACCCTGTATCGGATGTTGCGCCGTGTTGTTTGGCCCCGGAACATTACCACACTCTTTGCATTAATATGCGCCCGTGTGTAAAACTCCTTTTCCTCTGTCGGTCGCAACGTGGCCGTCAAAAATACCCGCTGCACACCCCATAATGCGATTTCTCGCCCAACATCACGTAACGCTGGCCGGAATGTGTCGGATCCATCCAATATTGTATGGCATTCGTCGACCACAACCCGGTCAATGGCGAACTGATTCTGCAATCGCTGAATAAAATGCTGGAATGCGGCCGTAAACACGGCTTCGGTAATAACCAATATAATTCGGCTTCCTTGGTGCACGCCTGTCTTGCTGTTCCATATGCTGGCCTCAATGCCGTGCTTTATGCACTCGCCATGAATGTCTTCCTGCAACGCAACCAACGGCACAATTACGATTGTCCGGCCCTGCTGCGAACAATACGCCGGCAACATGAATGACATGCTTTTCCCGCCCCCCGTGGGCGTGATCTGCACTACCGGACTCTCCCCTCGTACAATGGCGCCAACAACTTTCCTCTGTCCCGGCCGGAATGTCGCTGTTTTGCCTTTGATGCATTCTAACATGGCTGATATATCCACCTGTCGCAATGCCTCTAATCTTCTCAACCGTACACTCTGTCGGCTGCTCTCGAACTTGTTTCGCTGCCTTCGCTGCTGTGCGGCGCCTGTGGCCTCGCCCTGTACGCCGTCTCGGCTGGTGCCTTCCTGGCCGAAATCGAAAAATTGATGCCATTCTCGGCTGACTTCACGGAATTTCTCTCGCATAATGGCTGTGCCTCCTAACCCTTGCTGCATCTCGCGCGCGTATATCATGCCTGCCACGTGCGATGTGTGTGTGGCCTGCAAATCTCGCGCATCGCTGACATCGTCAATCCCATCCTCGTCTTCTCCATTCTCGCCATTATATGACGGGTCGTGTTTGGTACCTAAATATCGGTTGGATATGGCAATGGCGATCTGTCGCCAACTACTCGTGCTCAACTTGCAACCCAACAACCGCTCGCTGTGTTGCTGGATAATACGCCGAACACGGTCGGATGACCACTTTGCCTCGCGGAACGGCTGCATTGTTGGCTCCGTCGGTCGCTCTGGGTCTTGGATATCTTTCTGGCTGCTGAAACGCATCTCTTGATCAACTGCCTGGTCAATTGCATTGCGCGATGTGATCTCGTCGGCCCATATATATGCGCTGCGGAACGTTGACCTCTTGATAATGCCCTGCACATTCTGCCAAAACGGCAAAACCAACCACACATACCACACCAGTAACTCGCCCACCTCGGGCGGCATGAATCGATGGATGATCTTGGCCTGGTCTGACTGCTGGAAATTCTTGTGATATGCCGTGACAAAACACATCTGCCCGTGGCTCGCAAATATATTCCGCGTTCCTGCGTTGGCTGTATTCTCCATCCGTACCGTCAATATCTCGGTGGCGCGCGCTGGTTGGCCGGATACCATGTGCATTAA